TCTCTTGTTAACCTGCACAGTATTGAGCCTTTTATTAAATTGCATGCCAAAAATGTGGGGGTTATAATTGACAGAAAGTTCACATTTGAAAAAACAGATTAGCCCTGTTGTACAGCGGTCTTTTTTCAACCTTATATCTATCTCTGAAATCATTTTTATCTTTTACAAACTTTGAACAGGCGATCCATGCTTTTATTACATCCCAGCTGGACTATTGCAACTCCTTATATGTTGGAGTTGACCAGACCTACCTTGTAAGACTGCAGTTGGTCCAAAATGCCGCACCTCATCTTCTGACACGAACTACACATTTCCCCGGTGCTTGCCTCTCTTCACTGGCACACTGTTCACTTCAGAATTTATTTTAACATTTTATTGCTAACTTACAAAGTTAACTTACAGCGGCCTTTTTTTAAACTGAGGCTTTTACCTAAGGTGAAATCATTTTTATCTTTTAAAAACTTTGAAAGCATGATCCATGCTTTTATTACATCCCAGCTGGAGACCAGCTGCAGTTGGTCCAAAATGCTGCAGCTCGTCTTCTGACACAAACTACACATTGCTTGCCTTTCTTCACTGGCACACTGTTCACTTCAGAATTTATTTAAAAATGTTATTGTTGACTGACAACGCCCTGAAGGGACAGGCTCTCAGGTATTTGTCTGACCACCTTATAGGTCTCTTAGATCAGATGATCTTTTGCATTTAGCCATACAAAGGTCAAAGCTGGTTCACAGAGGTGATTGAGCGTTTGGGGTCGTAGCTCCTAAACTGTGGAATAATCGACGCCTACACATCAGACAGACTCCTACTGTCAATCTTTTAAATCTTATCTTAAAATACATTTGTATTCACTGGCTTTTAATAAAGTTTGAGAGTTATTTGGTATTTGATGTTTGGTACGAATATTATAAGTTATTTTACTAGTTATTTTGTATTTTTGTAAAGCACTTTGATCAACATTGCTGTTGTAATGAAATGTGCTATAGAAATAGATAAATGATAAAATGTAAAGAATCTAAATTACGTAAAGTCACAAACTCATAAAAACTAAACTCAACCAAAACTGCTGAGGGTTGGTGCTACTCTGCTTCAGCTTATGAACTTTAATCAGAACAATAAATAAAAACATAGTGGAAAGAAATTTTATTATTGCTGTCAATATAAGGTTAATAGAATAATGATGTTAGCTGGTAGCTGTTAGCCATTAGCATGCGTCCGTACTACCTGCCCCGGGAATTCTCGCATGTTATCGCGATAACAGCGTATGTCCCCCCCTCGGCCAACGCGGATGCAGCCTGTGACACGCTCCACTCAGTGGTCAGCAGACTGCAAACACAATCTCCAAGAGCCCTTCTCATAATATCAGGGGACTTCAATCATGCCTCATTGGACTCCACACTGCC